ATAAATAAAATAAAAATGATATGTTCTTAAATTAAATTTATATAATATTATGATCAATTTCATAAGCCTCCCTATAAGGTTTACCCGAACCTAAAATCTACCCCACCTTATTTTGAAATCCTGAGTCCGTCCCTGTGTGTATGACAAGGAGATTATGTCAGTTGTATTTGCAGTTCAACACTGGAGACCATACCTCATCGGCTGCCATTTCAAGATCTTGTAGGATCATCAGACCATCAAGTATTTTTTTGGAGCAGCGAATCACCTCTCCAACACAAGAAAAGTGGTTACTAAAATTGCTGGGGTATGATTATGAAATTGATTATCGTTCTGGTACCCAAAATGCAGGGCCAGATGCCTTGTCTCGCAAACCGGAATTGTTGGCCATCATGGGGTTATCCACGCCCATTTTTGATAGTGTATCTCCAATAAAAGCTGATTGCCTCAACGACACAGAAGCTATGAACATTATTCAGGCTTTGCAAACCGAAGCTCCTATTAAACCATATTTTTCTTGGCAAAACAGTTGCCTCTTTTACAAAAACAAAATAAATGTTCCCCCTACTTACTTCAAAGTGGAGGGAGCGGATCATGGAGGAGTATATTCTCTGTCTACAAGTGTACCAATGTTGTATATTCTCTTAATTATTACCAAGGCTCAATCAAATCAATGAAGAATAGGGCCGTCATGCTCATTAATTACTAAACTTGTTGAAGAGATGAAATATAACCAAGGTGAGTAAGCATTGGTATAATTATGCTTAGCCCATATGGCCAGAATATACCCCGGTGCATTGGTTTATTGTAGCCAGCTCGTCCATTCTGGTTCAAGGACAGTAGAGTACTAATTAGTGACAATCAATATAATCCCATGTGAATAAAATTATATTGCGCACAGGTTTACCTTTATTTTGGAATGCATTAACTATACTCAGGTTAATTAAACATGGAAGAATTGATATTTTACTTGCCATCTTCTATCGTATATCACATTAGTCCAATTAAGATATGAATTTATACGATTATTTTGTTATCTGATTACTCCGGCTTTATACTATCTAATTAGTATTAATACGTCGGTACCATCGTGGTATGCTTGATGAAATATTGTATATAATCCAATGGATAAGAATAATGAGATCGCAAATTATAAGAAACTTTCTACTGCGGTGATGATACTGTAGGGGAGGTCCTGCGGAAAAATAGCTCAATGCCATAATGGGCTGCTTCATTAGGGATATATGATTCAATATATATTATTACAATAAAAATGAGAAGTGTTAAGCTTTTTATCATCTTAGCGTCGAGCTATTTTTCCACAAGACCTCCCCTACAGTATTCAGGGATGGTCCTATGACTTGTACAACCTGGGCTATAGCTCAGGTGAGTTTTATTTATTTATTTCTTATAGTTAGTTTTAATGTTAATCTCATTTATAGCAGAAATATTAATTTGAACTAATTGGATAATTGTAGTGTTACCTCTAGTTGCTGTGTGTCTATCTGACTCTATATTTGTGATGATAAATTTTCTTTTTTGAATTTTCTTTTCTCTTAATTAATTTTTGTTCATCATGGTAGACCTTAGCTAGCATTGTTGGTGTAAAATAGGCCTTTTAAACAAATAAAATAAAAATGATATGTTTTGAAATTATATATATATATATAGTCCTGTTCAGTGGTCCAAGAGACTTATGGTCACCCACCCTTAGATTTAATCCAAGGGTTGAGAAAAATTTACTTTAAAATATCTTTTTTCTTTTACCTTTTAAATTTCACTTAACAAAAAAGGAAAAAACTAAAAACTAAAAACCCAAAATCTGTTCTTCTTCCTCCTGTTGCCTCCGCGTTCTGCTTCCTCCCCTCGCTGCAGCCACAACAACTCCGACTCCGGCATAGTGAGCGAAAATCCGGAGCACTCATTCCCTCGCACTTCAACAAGGTCAGTTTCTTGTTCTTCAAAAGTTTTTCACTCAATTTTTGGATCTGAAATCATGAACCCATATCTGGGAATTTCAATTGGGTTTCCGTTATTTTTTATTTTGGAAGTACTGTAACTATTCCTTGTACGCATTTGAACAAATATTAGTCTCTAGTTGGGAAAAGAATAAACCCTTTGATTTCTAGAAATTGGGAATGAATTGGGAAACCATTGTACGCATCTTAATATATGATTGGTTACTTTCAATTCTCTGGCTTAGAAAATGTCCAAGTCAAGTTTTCACTCTAGTGAATCGTCATGTAGTTTCTGAGAGATTTGTGTTCCTTCTCTGTTACCAGGTTTTTATTTTTCTGCCAACCATAGCAAAACGTGTAATTGGTTGGTTTGAATTGGTTGAATTCCTATAGGTAGATAATATGATTATAAAAAAAACTGCCTATAAGCGGATCTAGTAAGGCGCAAGGAGGTGCAGTTGCACCTCCCCTAGCCGGAAAAACCATTGTAAGTGCTTCAAATTACCCTTTTGCTCAACTGTTGTACAGATTACCTTATTTTTATTTATTTTACTTTTATTTATTTTTATATTACTCCATTTACTTAAGTTTACAATGTAAATAAGGAAGTACCCCCCATTTGGATTCAAATAAAAATACTAGAAAATCAAATTCCCACCAAATCAAAATATGAAAATTCGGTTTAGTGCAAAATAAGATTTAGGCTAAAAATGATGGCTCATTAAGTCAATATATACTTCATACTAAAATCCCATAAAATCAAGTTTTCTTATTCGATGTGTAAGGAATAAAAGTCGCCAAAAATTATCTTGAGAAAATGATTATTCCGAAAAACCATTTTTCATACTTAGTCAATATTGCACCTCTGCTAAAAAATTTCTGGATCCGCATAATTGGTTGAATTTGGTTAATTCGAAGCTCCTTTACAAGAGAGAAGTTGATTACTTTACAACTGTGATATTTGTTGTGGTGTTCATATGTATGTAATTGATAACTGAATGTTATAAATGAATTTTGTTTTTACTGATAGTTAATTGATCTTGCCGCATTCTAGAAGTCTGTAAATGAATGAACTCTTTTGTGTTTCTAGTAATAGAGAAGGGAAGGAAATGGAACAGGTCCTCTCATGGTCAAAGAAAATATGAAATCAGTCAGAGAGGATAAAAACTTTGAAAGAAAATCAAGCCTGGATGACTCTTACAGATTCTGTCATATTCTACAAAATGGGAGTAGGCGCAAAAGCAAGCCTAGATGAGCTACCGAAGCTGGTGTTAAGTGCAAATGTGTTCAGTTTTGCTGTTATGTGCACCTTTGCCATCAATTGATAAATCAGAAGCATGGAGAAAGGCTTTGATGGTTCACCTCTCATTCCTTATATTGCCTTCGTTGTAGTACATTTCTATAGTTTCGGAGTTCGTTGGTTATTGTTTGTACATAAGAATACCACGTTTATAGGTGAAGATTCTAGAGTTTTGTACTGTTCTTGAATGTAAATTACGTAACACTTAATGATTGAGAGTTCGGTACTGGTCTTGAATGTTGTTATTTGATTTTAGTAGAATATAATTTTCCACATGAATGTGGAATGCATTGCAGCAACACAAAAAAAAATCACAAATGTTCGAATCTAAACGGCTGCTCATGACTCCAAGTATACCAAATTATGACCAAATTGATAGACATAACTAGTAATTTGTGCAAGACTGAAAGAAGAAAAATATAATATGGCCTCGTCCAGTACATAAAAAATTAACACAGTATAAAATCTAAAAAACTGTTTATCCGACCATTGTGAACACAGCTTGACATCAAGTACCAAACAGATCTGTGAAGCGTGATGCCCAGTAGCGATCCACAAGAAACTGACCTTGTTGAAGTGCGAGGAAATGAGTGCTCCAGATTTTCGCTCGCTAAGCCGGAGTTGAAGTTGTTGTGGCTGCAGCGATGGGAGGAAGCAGAACGAGGAGGCAGCGGGAGGAAGAAGAACAGATTTTGGGTTTTTAATTTTTAGTTTTTTCCTTTTTTGTTAAGTGAAATTTAAAAGGTAAAAGAAAAAAGATATTTTAAAGTAAATTTTTCTCAACTCTTGGATTAATTCTAAGGGTGGGTGACCATAAGTCTCTTGGACCCCTGGGGTCCATGAGAACGGGACTGTATATATATATACACACACACATATGATCAATTTCATAAGCCTAAAATCTAACAGTTCAATAAAGTAAATCTAGCCCACCCCATTTTAAAATTCTGAATCCGTCCTTTACAGTTTCGTCACTGCAGTAGAATTTAACCAATAGCTAACACAGTTACTGATTCATATAGTCCAGACTAATTTCTATTAATTGTATATTGTTCACGGGTCAGACATCCCATTCATTACCCATGCTATTTAAATACAGCCATTTCATCCAGATTTGTGAAGGCGAATATACTATTGTACCCACTCAATTCGTTGTTCCTCTGTCTTTACGTCCAATTCACGAATTCCCCGTAATTATGTAATGGCCCGTAATCGTATAATTACGTTACCCTCTTCCCGATTACGAGCTTATCCTTTTATAGTGAATATATGAGTATTAAAATGTGGACATTGGCTAGCAATACTAACCAATAAACGAACTGTTCCTAAAAAAAGAACTGTTTATACTATACCCTAATTTATAGTTAATATCTTCTATTCGGCTTCTAATACTTAACATCACTTAGTTGACCGAATATTAATGATTTGGCTAAGATTACCCAATTTAACCTATTTCATATACTTTTGCTTTGGCATCGTGTTCATACTGTTTGTATTGAACTTCACGAGTATTATTCTTGATTCATCTTGGTATTACTCTTTAGACAACAATCAAACTATCGGGATAATTCAATACAACGGTATGAACACGATACCAAGGCAAACTCATGAAAATACTCCCACTATAGTAAATATCAAAGCCCCGGTATATAATTATAACATGGTATATCCCATTTTTCATAATATGAATATGAAAAACTTTTCTATTATTTAGCTATATGAGGTAATGTGTCAGTGAGCACATTACACAAAGGTGCTTATTTATATAATATGTTATTTTCACACAAAATAGAGAGATGGAATTGATATATTTTTGTATTGGGAATTACAATAGGTGTATTGGTAATTGTATGGATAGAAAGAGAAATATTCGCAGGAATACAACGTATTAGAAGTGGGCATATAAACCGGAAAACCGGACAACAAAAAAACCGAAAAAAATCGAATTAACTAAAAAGTCAACAAAACCGGACCAAATCGGTTCAAATCGGCTCTGGTTCTGGTTTTACACAAGATAGCACCGAACCGAACCGAACTGGACCGGCTGTATTAATTAATTATTTATTTATTTTAAAATATTCTATACTTAAGTCCAATTCTCCTTAACCCAAATAAAAAGCCAAACTTAAAGCCCATATACCTTTTATTTTTCAAGGCCCATTTCATAACCTTACTTCACCTCTCTCTTCTATTTTTCCCTTTTCCCGAAGCCATTGTCTTTTCAGTCATTCTTTTCACTCTTTTCAGTCTTTCTTTTCAGCTTTCTTTTTTCTTTTTATCCCTCTCTCTCTCTCCCCCCACCTTCCCCTTTTCTTTTCTTTTCTTTTCTTCATTCTTCTCTCTACGACTTCTCTCTTTCTCTACCCTCCTTTCCCTTTCCTTTCCTTTTCCTTTTCTTTTCTTCTTTCTTCTTCTTCTCTGATACTTCTTTCTCTCTCCTCTTTTCCTTTTCCCTTTTCTTTTCTTCTTTTTTCTTCTTCTCTGCGACTTCTCTTTGTCCCCCAGTTCCTTTTTTTTTTTTCCTTCTTCTCTGCGACTTCACTCTCTCTTTCTCTATGCCTTTTTTTTTTTTCCCTTCTCTCCAACTTCACTCTCGCTCTCTCTCTCTCTCTATGATTTGATGAAGAGGATGAAAGGAGTTCTTGCTATGGAGCCTTCTTCATTTGCTGGTAACGAAGATCCTAAGACTAGATTCAAGCATTAGAGTCTTAAGCAAGGAGAAATCTGGTGTTGTATTCAATTTTTTTTATTTTTAGTCGATTTCCTTAGATCTGGTGTGTTGTAAATTTTTTTTTTGGGTTTTGTTTATGATTTCTAGTTTACCTAGCATTGGATTGTTTATGGTTATTTTGCTGCCGAGCGATCTGAGAATGAAAGCAAATATCAAATATTTTGGATCAATTTTTTTTGGGTTTCAGAGAAGTAAAAATTGCTTAACTAGATTTAAGTTTTTATTTTTTATTTTTTCCTTATTCTCCACTGATCTCCCTCTTTCTTTTATTACTGTGTATGTGACTTGCCAGAAAACCAGCTCAAACCGGAAAACTGGAAATTGCCAGTTCGGCTTGATCCGGTTTCTCTCTTGTTTTTCTTAAAAATTGGATCGTACCGGACCGGATGAACAATACCAGTTTCGGTTTCGGTGTGAGCTGCAAACAGGACCGAACCGGACCGTGCCCACCCCTACAACATATGGGGAATTATATACTATGAGTAGGTTATATGATAAAGTTTGGATCGGAATACGTATGAAGGGGTGGCCCTGGTAAATTCGCATAATATTAGTTCCTAATATAGTGTGTAGTTGCTTGTGCTCCTTTAGTGCCCAAATTATGCTCATAGGATATAACGACCTACTCATAGTATATAATTCCTCATACTGGATATTATGATATCTAAAGTTAATATATGAATAACTATACAGGACCAAATGAGGTAAATATAATTATTACTGAGTTATAATATCGCATTATTCACTTATTAATGCAATATCCTACTTCAATATAATATCCGTTTAAGGATACTAATACATAGTTATATTCATAGGGAGGACAATGTCAGCTATAATAGTTTGGTATGCCTTGGACAAATAGCTTTGGGTTATACCTTTCATTGTATTCATTGAAGCCTATACAAAATTTTCTGGTATATCATTTGGTTAATTTATTTACTCAGGTTCGGATAATTATTTGCAGGTCCTAGGGTATTGCTGTACTTCATAGCTACATATTCGAATATTCACCCTAACTTAATGTGTTACTTACAACACTGCAGGCGTCGATACGCACATCGCTTAGTATCCCAATTGAAGTGGAGGGTTTCTTCAAACAACAAGGAGCTAGGTCAACCATTCAATCAAATGAAATTGAGCATGTTTCCCATCACTTCTTAAGAAACAAGTATGCTATGCAAAATTGAATAGGGATAAAGATAAATCATATAACCTACCTTGGACGGTATAAATATTAGAAATGGCGGAAACGCCATCTTCACAAACATGAATAGATATATATATATATATCTTTATTTTGGATATATTAGTTAACATTCTCAAATAATATATAAAGCTATTAATAAGTAATTGTAGGGGCTTTTTCTGGCAACTTCAAATGGGTTGGGCTGCCATAAGGAGTGAACTGAGGAAATTATCTCATGTGCCTGAGATCAAAAATCAAGCCACAAGAATGCTTCGAAAGGACAGTAGGGCCTTATGAAACACCTTGGTTACATTCACCAACAAAAATAATAACAGCTTACAGATGAATTCTTAGTGCTTACAAGTAGAATTTTAGCTTGGCATGAGAGGCTTGTGGCATGGGAGCAAAGTTGTCATGAGTTTAGCCTTAAAAGGAAAGAGCTGTGAGTTTCTATGAAAAATAAGGGTTCTAAGGAAAAGGAGGAAAGGATTATCAAAGGTTTTGGCTGAGAAGAAGAGAAAGGCTAGGCAATGGGTGGCTTAAGCGTTTTTCAGGCAGCTTGACAGAGGTTCTATCAAATATCAAAACGATCTGCCAAGAGGAAAAATAAGGGGGAGAAGGATGAACTAAACACGAAATTGCTGGGTTTTGGAGGTAAGAGAGGAAACTTGCTCTCTGGATGTGGTTTGTTCATTTGTTGGGTAGCTATTCTTTTCCAAGAAACCCTAATGGTTTCTATCCAATTTGGCAAAGCTCTTCCCTTTCTTTCTTCTCCCTTCCTTTCTCCCTTCCTTTGACTTATCTTATAATGGTAAAAATCTCTCTACCCATTTGCACAAAATCAAGGATTTTTGGGTGCTCAAGGCCCTTTCCCGCACCTGTTTCAGTGAGAGACTCCCATTCTCAGCTAGTTCCCTTTTTCTTTCCTTCCTTCTTCCATGGCTAGATCTAATGAAGGAAAGAAAATAGGTATACATGCTGATTCGAAGGGTGTCTCTCCTTCTGGCAGCCTATGCGCTAAAATCCTTTGGTCCTTCAGATGTTTTTTGCTTGAAACTTGTTCTTCCCCATGTGCTGGAGCTTCCCAACAGCTCTACGCACGTGGACCTCCAAGCTCCCTTCGTGTCTTTGTTCTCCAGCCAAGTGCTGGGGCTTTTGCTGCTTCTTTTTCTAATTGTATGGGCCTTCTAAGACATCAAGTCAATTCATCAAACAAATGGGCTAACCTTATCAAGTATTGGGCTATTTTGGTTAATCTAATGGGCTATTTTGGATGAGGTAGTGGACTACTTTCTTCTTTGTGCTTATCCACATGT